AAGTCCCCCAAGGCCACCCAGTGCTCATTCCCAGGGTGGGGGGTGCAGAGCCACTGCCCAGCCTGGCGGCAGGAGGAAGACAGGCTCAGAAAGGGTGGCCAGCTGAAGGGTCCACTCGCAAGTCTGCACAGGGGTGTCCGTGCACAGGCCCCAGACTCCTCCCTGCAGTCCGTCCACCGGACGTCAGCCTGCCGGCTCTCTTCCCGACTCCGCACTGGGGCTGGCAGAGCCTTCAGGGGGAGACGGCCACACGGGGTGCGCACGTCGGAAGGGGGACTCTCCTGGCTGCCTGGGTAACACAGGTGTGTCTGCAGCCCACCACAGGTGCCTGGCGGCAGGACTGACCTGTTGGTCTCTGCCCACAGGAGCTCCCCTCCTGGCACCCCTGCCCCCCTAGCCTGGGCAGATGGGCAGGGGCTGAGCCACTTCAGAGACCCAGTCCTGCTTCGGGCAGGGCCTCCACACCCGCCTGGCAACCCGTGTGGGGCGAGGGAAGCCTGCTGTTTGCAAGGGAAGGGGGAGTGGGAGGAGGTGCCGGGGGAAGGCAGGAGCTGGACCACCTGGGCCAGGCAGCAGGCGTCCGGCTCAGGGACAGAGGTTTCAGCTGAAGCCCCGACTCCACTGGACCCAACTGGGAGACAGCCTGAGGTGCGCAGGGATGCCTGGCCACCGCTGGAGCCCCGTCGGGGGCAGTGCAGGGCCTGTGGGGCGAGCGAGCACTCAAGGGGCAGTGCAGGGGAGTCCTTGGCACCGGCACTGGGGACAGTGGTGAGCAGACGCAGCAACAGGGCAGACCCCTGGGTCTCCGGAGCAGAGCCCTGCTGTCCACTGTGCCTGCAGGCCCGGGCCCTCTCCTCTGTGCACAGGGCAGGGCCCGGGCAGTGGCTGCTGCCCGCCCGCATCTCTGGGGACTTATCTGGCCTGGCCTCTCCGATCCCAGGCTGACCCAAAGGTTCTTTGGGACCAGCAGGTGTCGCTGACTCGGGGCCTGTTAGACCCTGTCCCCCAGCACCAGACTCTGCTCATAGGGAGGGTGTTAGCCCAGGACACCGGATGCTCCTTCATAGCCTGGGCAGCCTCTTCCCGCCCGGAACTCCTGCCGGCCAGCTGTCCCTGCACCGCATCCTTCCTTCCTCTCCCAGCTACACTCGGACGGTCCTGGAGGAGCCCAGGCCCGGCCATCCCTGACTTCCCCAGGGGACAACGAGGACTCGGCCTCCCTGCTCTGCCACGCCTCTGGCGGCGCTGGCTCCAGAGGCACGGAATTGAGCCCGTTTCCTCTCGCCCACTGGTCTCCCCAACCAGGGTGGTAGGCGGCTCCTCCCCCAGTGCATCCCGACAACGTCCCCTCTTGCAAAGCCCGCCACCGCAGCCTGGAGGGTGCGCCCCTCCAGGTGGAACAGAGGGGCCATGCACCACCCCTAGAATCACGACCCCTGACCTCTCGGTGGGGCGGGGGCAGACTCCAGCACAGACTGCCCGCCTCCGGGCATCAGGCACACACACACTGAGGCCCCGGTGCCCGCGGCCCCGTCCACTCGGGACGGAAACCAAAGCCAACCTCGGGAGGCAGAACGCGCTCCGCCCGCCCGGCCCCGGCCCGCCGGGGACAGCCCTGCGCGACCAGGGCACCAGTGTGCCGGGCCGCAACCCTGCAGCGCCCACGGAGGACGGGCTGGGGCGGGGCCGCCCCTCCCACCGCGGCCGCGAGGGGCGTGCGCGACCCCGGCCCACCCTCGGCCGCCACGCCTACCGGTCTTCGCCGGCGGCCTCGCTCTTCGCCACCGGCCGATCGGTCCCGTCTCCCGCCATCGGGGGTGCCGGAGGTTTGCGGGGGGCATCGGTGGAGGTCGGGGGCGCCGCCATGGAGCTCCGAGGTCTCGGGGCTGAGCGAGTGGGCGGGGCGGGCCGCACGAGCCGCCGGGAGCTGTAGTTCGGGGCTCTGCCCTGCACGCCCGCCGGCGCGCTGCGAGGACTACAGGCCCCACAAGGCCTTGCGGCTGGGCATCCCCGCAATCAGTAGGACCGTGGGGCCGCGGCTGGGTTTCGTCCGCCCGGGGAAGGACCCCCACCCCGCGTATTGCCACAAACTTAGCCGCACACAACCCCTGGAAAAAAGGCAATAAACATTTATTCGATACAGTCTTTTTTAATACATACAGTTGATGGCCCGCCCCCGTGCCACTCGGACCTAGGGGCGGGGACGAGGACCGGGGACAGATGGTCACAAGGCGGGCTGGGCCCGAGCTTACCGTCAAAACATCTTGCAAATAAACACTTTGTAGATAGAATATATATGTATATTTATGGTTACAAGTGATAGCTGGAGCCTCTCTTTCAAAATGCACTTATGTACGGAGAACTGGCATTTAAAAAACGAAACCAAGAAACCCGAAGTACAAGACTTTGTGTGGCTGTCAGGCCAGAGGTGCAGGCCGGCCCCCTGGAACACCCCCACCCCCCGAGCTCCAGGACAAGCCTCCTGAGGCCTGCAGAACGAGGACCCACGGGGACAGCCCTGCCCTCCGTGGGTCAGGGTGCACCGGTTCTTTCCCTTCTGAACCAGAGGAAAGGGGCGGGGGGGGGGCCTATGGCTGGGAGGGCCACTGGTCACACCAGGAGACACCCTCATCTGCCTCTGCACAAGCAAATAAAGTGCTTCCTACTCCTGTGTGAAGTGTGAGCCCCTTGAGCCAGCCCCTTCCTGTTCCCAGGGCAAGGTGGGTGGGCTGGGCCAGAGGTAGGTCTTCAGAAGGGGACTCAGCACTGCGTCCAGGCTCGGGCTCGGGGCTCAGGCAGGGTCCACGCCCACCCAGCCCAGGAGTCTGCCACTCCCGTCCCTCACTGAAGGTGTCAGTCAGGGCCTGCAGACCAGCCTGCCGCTGCCGCTCACAGGGAAGCAGGGGGGGAGGAAGGGGGAGGCGGGTCCAACCCAACAGTCCGATTTGGCAGCAGCCCCACACCCACTTTAAAGACAAAGAAGGGGTTAAAGTGCTAAACATCAAGTTATCCAGGACCCCGCCTCCTCCCACGCCAGGGACCATCTGTGGACTTTGGAGGGTGACCTGGAAGTACCTCCCAGTGAAGTCTAGCCCCCGACTCCCCAAGGGCCAAGTACCTGAGAGGCCGGGGCGGGCGGCTGTCCCCCCAGCAGAGGTGTTGAGGTCCGACCTCCCCCAGCCATCGGTGACAAAGACCGAGACAGCATACCTGGGGCTCCTGTCCACACCTGCTTCTCCCCCACTCCCGAGGCCACCCCTGAGGAGGCCGCCCGACCCCACCTCTACTGGCCGTGCACCGCAGCGATTCCCAGAGCCCAGGGAAGAAAGCCCTCCCGCCCCCAGCCCAGCCCGTGCTGTCCCGCCTGGACTCTGACTCCAGGTCCCACCCGTGTGCCCACGGCTGGGAGTGGGGTGCAGCACGGCTGTCTGCACCCCCCTTGCACACCAGGCCCCAGCTGCCCAGGGTCAGAGCCTCCGGACAAAGCCCGAGACGAGCAGCGCAGCCCCCCGGCCCCCCAGCCCCCAGAGCCCGTCCCCCTACCGCAGGGCCAGGAGAGCGGAGCCCAGCCTGGTGCCCCCCTCTCCAGGGCTGGGCGAGGATGGCCAGCTGGGGCGCGGGGGGTGCCCAGCGGGCACTGCCTCCCTGAGCAGGGGAGGGACCCCAGGGGCCCTGGCCCAGTCCCCAGACCCAGCATCGGCACCAGGAAACCCTTAGCACCAAAATGTCAGATTGTTGTAAGTTTTTGTATAAAAAACAGAATAAAAAAGGTTGTTACTTGTCACAGGAACAAGACTGGCACCCACGACACACCCAGGACACACGCACACGGGCAAATATCAAAATTCACATCGTCCAGGATCGGCAAGGCCGCGCCCTCAGCCCCCCACCCCCCCGTGGAAAACAACCTCCAACCAACCCCCGCGGCTCTGAGCGTCCTCAGCCCCAGGCAAGGCCACAGCCGGGAGGCAGGGCCCGGGGAGGAGGCCGGAGCTGCTGGTCCACTCCTCCAGGCACCCTGGGCTCCAGCCTGAACCCCGCCCAACCTGCCGCCTGGCCGTCCTCGGGGCCCCGGGGGAAGCCAAGACAGCCCCGCTGACCTTCTCCCATCAGCCCGCTGACCTTGGCCAAGCCCCCTCCCAGGCCTGCAGCTCTCCTGTGAAAAGACCACACAACCAGAACCAGAAACGAAGGGGCAGGTACAAGGGGGGTGGGGGCTCCCAAAGGAGCCTGGCCCCGGGCAGACAGAAGGCTGCTTCCTGCAGTGGCCACTCCTCAGAGCTGGGCCCAGCCCCCTGCCCTACAGGCCCACGGCCCCAGGCCAGCCCCAGGGCCTAGACCGGCCAGTCTCTAACCTATCAGGCTGCCCCAGCCAGATCAGTGCTGTCGGCCCAGCTGCAGCGTGCTCCACGTGGCCCCAGCTGCTGCCGCCCTGCCCGTGGGCAAACCAGGGGTCCTCCCTTGCCCCAAGCAGGGGGCACCACGGGGATGGCAGAGAGCCCACAAGGGGGGCCACTGCCCCCCCAGGATGGACACAGGCCAGTGGGGCAAGGGCTCGAGCACAGCAGCAGTCGACCGGCGGGGGCGGGGGCGGGGGCGGGCCTGGAGAGGTAGAGAACAGAAGCGGAGGAGCCAGAGGTGGGGAGGAGCGAGGGGCACGGACTGGCAGGTCAGCATGGCAGCGGTCAGACTCCGGGTCTGTCCTGGGAGGTAGCTGGGGGTGCTGGGGTTCCAGTGTCGGGGAGAGAGGCAAGGCTGCTCGGGCACCCTCATCAGCCCAGAACCAGGGACCCCCGAGCCTTGGGCTTGAGGAAACAGACAGGGCACGCGGCTCATGTGGCCAGGCCGGACGGCGCCTGGCTGCTGCGGCCCCGGGGCCCCAGGCCCACGCCCGTCCCTCCTGGCTATTGCACTTCCGTGGCCGCCACAGGCCCAGGGTGCCCGGTAGCAGCCTGCACAGGGGAGGGGCCGCCCTCAGGGAGAGCAGTGGGGCCGGCTGCCCCACTGGACGGAGGAGGAGACGGGGTGGGGGTGCGGGACCGGAGGGTGGGACGTCCTAGGGCCCTTGCTCCCCACCCTGGACAAAGGAGGCCTTGGCCAGTGTGGGGACCGGGACCCACCCGCCTGCCAGCCACCGCGCTCACTTCTCGGGCGCCTTGCCAGCTCCCACCTTCCGGCCAGCGGGGCCCCGGGCCCCCTTGTCTCTGCCCCCAGGGGGCCAGTCATCCTGGCGGGGGGGCGTCTTGGGCGCAGGCTCCTCGGGGGGCCGCTCCTTGGGCTTGCGGCCCCGCTTCTTCCCGCCAGCCACGCTCTTCTCCTCCTTCTTGGGCGCCAGGGCGTCCTGGCTCCTGTGTCTGGGGGGCGGGTCCGCCGAGGTCCGGAACCAGTTCTGGGGAGAGGGGAGCAGCGATGGGAGCGGGGGACGGGGCAGTGGCCCCGAGCGGCTGGGTGCTCCCAGGGACGCCGGGCACCGCCTTGAGGAGCAGCTGCCAGGTCTCTCCCTGCTGGCCACCCACTCCAACAGCGCCCCCTGCCCCGCCCCACCCTGCCCCGGCACCCTCCGGGGGCCCCGCCACGGGCCGCACGCAGGCCCCGGCCACCCACCTACCCACCTCCGCGTGCGCCTTGAGGATGTGGTACTTGACGCCGCTCTCGGAGCCGAACTCCTTCGGGCACAGCAGGCAGCAGTACTTCCCCACCAGGTGGTCTCCCTGCGGGACACGGGCAGCCCGGCCCCAGGTGTCGGAGCGGACCCCCACCCCCACCCCCGGCCACAGGGTGCGGTGGCCACAGTGCAGCTGGCCAGGTCAGGGTGCTCACTGCGCCCCGGGGAGGAGGAGCCCCCAGGGAGGGCGGGACTTGGGACTGACTGGCCCGTGGCTGGGGCTGGGGGACAGCGCCTGCCACGGCGGAGGTGCAGGGCCTGGGAGCTCACCTTGCTGCAGCTGGCCAGGTGGGCCTTGAGGCCGGACACGCTGGAGTAGATGGCTTCACAGCACTGGGGCGGGAGACAGCCATGGGAAGGGGCCCCCACCCCAGCCAGGAGCCCTGGGGCGCGGGCAGGCGGGGCCTCTGGGGTTGAGGCCCAGGCCTTCTGCCAGCAGGGCCCCGGGACCACAGGCAGGCTGGCCACTGGGCTCCCACCCAGGGCCACATCTGGGTCCTCTGTCCCTCAGTCCCAGTGTCCCCACGCCCGCCCGGCACCTGCCCCAGCTCACGTCATTGGGGCAGTTGACGTGGCCCTTCTCTTTGACTTCGTTCTTCCACGCCTCCAGCAGCTGGGGGCTGAGCGTGGGGAGGCCGGGCCGCGTGTAGTTGAGCTATGGAGGCAGGCGGGTGACGGGGTGAGCCCGGGGCCGGGCCGGAACCGCCCCCACTGCCCTGTGGAAGCCCGCAGCTGCGCCCTCCACTGGGAGACCCGGCCCTCGGGAGGTCGGCGGTGGAGGGCCCCGGGCGGGGGGTCAGGGCCCTCACAGGGGTCCCCACGGGGAGGCTGGGACCAGGCCTCACCCGCGCCGTCTCGGGCACCAGGTCATCTTTCATCCGCCGTTTGGTCCAGTCCCGGGCCAGCTCGTCCTCCGCGATCTCCTGCAGGTGGAACACTGCCACCTGTGCTGAGGTGCGGCGGACGCGGCCGCTGGGGGTCCGCTCCACACCCAGCAGGTCCTCGGCCTCGGGGGGCTTGTCCTCGGGCTCCTCGAGGGGCTGCGGGGCGCAGGGGCCAAGGTGAGCGGCAGGAGTCCCGGGCCGGTGGGCGCAGGCGCACACGGGGCGGACGGGTGGGCCGGGCCGCTCACCGGGGCCGTGTGCTCCGACCGCATGTGGTAGTCGTGGCCGGCCTTGGAGCGGTAGGTCTTGCCGCAGTGGGTGCAGGGGAAGGACGGGCTGTCCACCTCGCTGGGCGGCCTCCCGCAGCGCCGCTGGTGGTACTGGTAGCCCATGAGGCTGGAGAAGGCGGCCCCACAGCCCTGGGGGCCGAGGGCGTTGAGAGGGCGGCCGGCGGCTGTGCGCTGCCCCACGCGCCCCCACGCCTGAAGGGCCCCACTGACCTCCTGGGGGCAGCGCAGCCGCCCCATCTGCTTCAGCACCTTGCGCAGCCGCTCCCGCTCCTCCTGCTCGCTCCCCTCCGAGGCCTCGGTGTCAGAGGGCTGGGGTGCAGGCTCCGCCTCAGCGCTCCCACCCCCACCAGGCCCGGCCCACGGGTGGCCGCGGGTGGCCGCGGGTGGCCGGGGGCAGGTGCGGCGTGCCGAGGGCCGGGCGGGGCAAGGTGGGGTGGGGGGCCTGGGGTCGAGGTCCGGGGGCGGGGGGCGGCGGCTGGGCCCAGGCGTACCTTGGCACTGTGTTCGGCCATGGTGTGGTAGTTGAGGCCAGCCTTGGACTTGAACTGCTTCCGGCAGTGCTGGCACTTGAGGGCGTCCTGCAGCTGCAGACAGGTGACCCGTGAGGAGCCGCCCCAGGGCACCTCCCCCTGGAGCCCCGGGGGCGGCCTTACCTTCTGGCACACCTCCATGTGCTTCTTGAGGCCCACCAGGGTCTTCCGGGTGACCACGCTGCAGGTGGGGCAGACCGCCTCCCCCCGTTCGTGGAGAGCCCGCTGCCACTGCTCCTCGGGGCCGCCTGTGGGCGGGGCCGGGCCTCAGGGGCTGTGGGGGGCTCCAGGCCGCCCTGGGCGCCAGGCAGGGCCCAGGGTCTACCTCATCGTCCAGGCTGGCCTGCGCTGCGCCGCCCCCCCCCCCGCCCCCACAGTAGCCCCTACCTGGGGCCGGATGGGCCACGGGGGCCGGCGCCTCCTTGCTGACGCTGCTGGCGGGGGGCGGCACCTTCTTCCGGATGTCCTCCGCACTCGGCCCCTCCTGCTTCTTGGCCCGGTAGCCTCGGGCTTTGTCCTCTGCCTTGGCCAGGCCTGTGTGCACACGCGAGGTGGGCAGGGGTGGGCGAGGTGGGCAGGGGTGGGCGCGAGCGCAGGCGCACCCAGGCACGAGCCCGGTCCCGCGGGTGCCACTGCCCGGGCCCCACCTTTGAGTCCGAACGTCCCTGAGATGGACGGCTGCTCCCCCGTAAACTTCTTGGGTGTCTTCTGTTTCCTTCCTGACTCGGGGGAGAGGAGACGGGCCGAGACTCTGGTCAAATGACCGTGGGGAGGTCGGCCGCCGCCCTGCCCTGCTGTCCCCCCCTCGTCTTACTGTGCTTCGTGCGTCCAGCCCCCTCCTCAGGCGGGGACACGGGGCCCGGGGCCCTCGGCGCCTCCTTGCCCCCCAGGGGCCTGCTGCCCAGGGGAAGGGGGCCGCTGCTGAGGTCCACGCCGGGCAGGCAGGCCGAGCCCTGGGCGGCGGTGGACGGGCCACACTCCCCGTTCTCAGGCCTCGCCTGCTTGGGCGGGAGCGGGCAGCTGTCCAGGCCGTCCGCAGCCCTGCGGGAAGCGGGAGGTGAGGGGCCGGGGGGCGCAGCCCGGGCCGTCCACCCTGGCCGTGCCGGCCGGTGCCCCAGCCCGCCAGGGTCGGCACCCCTACCTTTTCTTCCCGCTGGCCCTCCCTGCGGCCCGAGGAGTTTTGTTCTCAGACTTGGTCAGCAGCACCATTTTGCAGGACGGCGTGTGCCTGCTGATGGCGATGGGCCTGCTGACCGTCACCAGCTTACTGACCACAATGGGCCTGCTGACCGGCACAGGTTTGGTGACCGTCACGAGCTTCGTCATCGGCACTGGTTTGTTTGTAGTCACTGGCCTGGTGACCGTCACAGGCCTGGTGACCGTCACAGGTTTGGTGACCGGCACGGGCTTGGTGACCGGCACGGACTTGGTGACCGGCACGGGCTTGGTGATTGGTATGGGCTTGGTGACGGGCACAGGTCTAGTGACTGGCATAGCCTTGGTAATCGGCACAGGCCTGCTGACCGTCACCGACTTGGTGACCGGCACGGGCCTGCTGACCGTCACGGGCTTGCTGATACCGATGGGCTTGCTGACCCCCACGGGTTTGCCGATAGTGACGGGCTTGCTCACTCCGATGGGCTTGCTGACCCCCACGGGCCGGCTGATGGTGACCGGCCGGCTGACTGGCCCAGGCTTGGGTGCTGGCAGAGGCCGGTCCATGTGGTTCCAGATCTGGTGCTTCTCCAGCTGCGTCTTAGAGGTGAAGGCGGCCTCACAGAAGGGGCAGGGGAAGGTCAGCCTTTCTGAGATGGCGCCCTGGGGGGAAAGGGCCGGTGTGGGCCCCACACAGATGCAGCCCGGGCTGGGCGGGCCCCCTCCCCCTGACCCGCAGCCCCTTACCCCTTGGCACCGCTGGTAGTGGTACTTGAGTCCGTAGATGCTGGGGAACTCCAGCCAGCACCCCGAGTTGGGGCACTGCACCCGGGAGTGCGCTTTGAACTCGTCCTTCCACTGGTTCATCAGGGAGAGCTGGCGGGGGAGGTGGGGCTGCTGACCAGGCCCCTGCTCCACGCCCCGCCCAGCCCTTCCACTGGGGCCTGCAGCGAGATCCTGGCCACCCTGGGCAGTGACCTGGACCTGCCCTGAGGTCCCCACGGACGTGGTCCACCGGGCCCCAGGCCACACCGCGGACCCCTGGGGCCCACGTTGGCCCCGACGTGGGCTTGGTGCCGGCCGTGTGGACGGCAGGGGAAGGCGGGGCAGTGGCCTCCGCCGGCGGGTCCCACCTTGAGCCCCTCCCCCCCAGCCCTCAGGGAGCTCACGGGAATGTCTCGGAGGGCCTGGTTCTCAGCTTTCGGGCGCCCCTTTTTCTTCCCTTCTGTCCTGTCACCAGCTGGACTTCCCGGGTCGAAGCAGAGAGGGGCCTGGCCGGGCACCGCCTGCCCCCCGCGGGCCACCGGCAACCCTGCGGCACACAGTGCGCACGGGACTCGGCGGTGCGTCCGGCAGCCTCGCCGGCCGCCTGGGAGGCTGCCGGGAGCCTCGTGCCCCCCGTGGCTGAGGCAGGGGGTGGACGGTTGTCAGCCCGGGACGAGGATCCAGGGTCCCTGGCTACCCCCACCCTGGGGAAGCTCTCAGGGTGGCACCCAGGAGCCAGACGTCCCGGAGGTGGCCTGCACCCAGCACTGGATGTCTGTGGCGGCTTGGAGGTGCCCTCGGCCTGACCCTCTTACCCAGCTTCGGCGGGTCATGCCGCACGGGGAGCCGGACCTCGCTCCGGCTGCCATCCTTGGCAGGCCCACTCTTGCTGGACCCCGGGAGCCGGCGGCCGCCTCCCACGCAGAAGGGGTCAGCCATGGCTGCAAGGCAAGTGCGCGCCCCGTGAGGCCCACCCGAGAGGCCGTGCTTGCACCCCCCCCACCCCCGACGGCCTGCCCTCTGGCTCCGGGAAGGGGAGCCTGCCTGTGTGCTCGTGGCCACAGGGCCAGCAGGCGACAGGGCACCTCGGGCCCAGGGGCGCGCTGGCGTCTCCCCAGGAGACACCGTCAGCTGGGGCGAGTCGGACCCTGTCCCAGGACCCTCGCCAGTCCAATGGGCTCCTTCGGTACCAGACGCAGCCCCCAAGTGTGCGGAGGGCCGAGCCCCTCGCCCCCGGCGCCGGGCCACACAGCCCTGCGGAGGCCGAGTGCCCGGGCAGCAGGCCAGCCACGCCCCTCCCGGGGGCCAGCGATGACAGGGGCTGTGGGTGCACGGGCCGGCCCGGCCCGGCCCCTGGGCACACCTTACTTCTCAGCCCCAGCCAGACCCAAGGCAGGGCCCCCTGCTCAGGGGTTACCCTGGACCCTCCCCCCCGGACCGAGAGGGAAGACGGCCAGCATGACCACCGAAGCCCCGAGTCCACGCCCCAGCTGCACGGGCCCCCCTGCCGGGGCAGGGGGCGGGCAAAGGGCAGAGGGCGCCGTGGCACCTGCTCTGGTCCCCACGTCTGCAGAGCTACCCCACCTGCTCCGGCTCTGTTTGTTCCGCCAGGGTCCCTCGGCCACCCTCCACCTGGCTGACCTCCTCACCTCCGCCCTCCGCAGCCTCTCTCCCCCACCTACAGGGCCACCGGCACCACACCAGAGGCCGCCGGCCACCCACCACGGGGAACACCCAGCCCCCTGAGCGGGGATCCCTGGGCACAAAACTGGCGGGACTCGGAGCTCTGGCCTGCCCCCCGGGGGGGGGCGCGGGGGTGGTGTGGGCAGGTGACCCCTCCCCAGTGGTTTCCGGCCGACTCGGAGAGAACAGGCGAGGGCTGCTGTGCCTACCAGGGAGCAGAAGCTGACAGGCAGGCTGAGGTCAGAGGTCAGGACAGTCACTGCCTGTTGCCAAGGGGGTGCCCCGATCCTGGGCCTGAGGGTCTAAGCAAACTTCTCTGCAAGTCCTCGTGCTGCAACTTCCGAAGGAGACAATGCCCAGATCAGTCACCCCGGCCCCACGGTGACCCCAGGTGGCCTGAGGGGCAGGGGCCTGCTGGAAGCCCCCCCCCCTTTCCAGTCTTTCTGCAGCTTGAGTGGAGAATTCAAAGTTGGGGGGCCTGGAGCCAGGGCTGGCCTGGGAGGCAGAGACCCTGCTTCCATCCGGGGCCTGTGACTCTCGCAGCGGAGGAAGGGCTTCCCGCCTCCGGGAGGACCCAGCAAGGACGAAGAGGAGGGACCCTCGCGGGGGCTGGGGAGAGGTGGGGAGAGGTGGGCGCCGCGCTGACCACAGGCAGCGGGACCGCGGCGCGGCCAAGGCCGCAGGGCCCTGACCCCCGGCTGAGGTCCGGGCGCGCGGGTGAGGCCGGCCGGGGATGCACGCCTGGCGGCTGGCCTGGCCACCCACCTGTCACCTGCGGCAGGGGTGAGGCCCCGGCCTGGCCCCGGAAGGGCCGATCGCGGGCGCCAGGGGAGGGGGGGCGAAGGCAGTGAACCAAAATGGCGACTTTTTCTGGAGAAGGAGGAGGCAGGAGCGCGGCGCCGCGCGGGGCGCCGGGCGCGGCGCGGGGGGTCCGGGCGCGGTAGGGGGGCGGCAGGCGGGGGCTTCGGCGCGGCGCCCCCCCCCCCGACCTGCGCGCGGGGTCAGGGTCGGGGGCGCGGCCAGCGTGAGGGCCGCGCCGGGGTCTGGGCCGGGGGCGCGGCCGGGCGCTTACCTGCGGCGCCCAGCGGGCCGGAGGCGGGGCGGGGGCCGGGGCCGGGACTGGCCAGACAGGGGTGCGGGCGCGGGGTCCGGGCGGCGCAGGCTGCGCGCCGCGCTGCGCACATGCGCGCTCCCGCCCCTCCCACCTTTGACAGTTTTACTGTGGGGGGGGGGGGGGACGAACTCTCGCGGTATTCCTGCTGCCGCTCCGCGCCGGGAGGGACCGGTCGGGGGGCGGGGGGGGGGCCCGCCGGGTCCACGGGCTCGTGGGGCTGCGTGGTCCGACGGGTCCCTCTGCCGGGGCTCCAGTGCAAAGTGGCCGGTTGTGCGGCCCAGAGGGCGGGAGACGTTATTTTCAGACAGTGGGGTAAACTGAGGCACCATAAGGGCGCAGGGTCCTGCCCCAAGCCCAGCGCGCTCGAACTGAAGCCACCGGATGCCTCTGCGTCCTGACCCTGGGAAGGGCCAGGCAAAGCGGGACTTGGCCTCTCCGCCAGCCAGCCTTGGGCCACTTCTGCCCGTGGCCACCCTCAGGGGATCGCTAGCTCCTGGCCTGCGAGGACCGCTCTCCACTGGGGTTACTGACAACCATGGGACCAGCCTGTCTGCTCGGGGACCCGGTACTCCTAGGCTGTCCGCCGCTTTCCTCTGTGCCCCTGACCCTGGCCCCTGCTGGAAGCTGCTATCGGGTCTGGGGGTGATGGACAGCATCCCCACCCAGCATGGGAATGAGCGGAGGAGGGAAGGAGGGCCCGTTGGGAAACGAGTTACGAGGAGGTTCCCGTCCTTCCCTGAAGCCCTTCCCACTGGGCCCTCACACTGCACAGCCCCACCCCCACCCTGGAGCAGGCACTGCTTGGGGGCACGGCACCAAAGATGACACATTTGGGGTCCGCTCTTCTTGAGGGGCCCCTTGAAACCTGCTCTCTCGAGGCCAGCACGAGGTGCCCACTGAGAAGCCAAGGCGAGGTGCGGGGGAGGACACCCGGAGGGGGCACGTCGCCGGTCAGAGAGGGCCGCGTGACCCTGGGAGGAAGAGGGAAGGCCCTCCGACCCGAGCACGCCCAGAGCTGTCAGCTTTCCCCGGGGGAGTCCGCGCGCCCGTGGCTGTGCCGGGTCGCTGCCGGCAGGTGTGGGTCAGGCGGCCCCTTCTGCGGACGGCAGCGTCAGGGTGTCTGGGTCCTGTGCTGGATGAGCATATGCTCACCCGTCCGCTAGTCTCCAGGGGGCTGGGCCCAGGGCTTGTCTGGGTCCGGCAGGGGTGTGTTCCGGCTGCAGCGTGCCTGGGAGTCAGCCTCACGCGGTGCCAGTGGGTCTCTGCCACTGTCTGTGTCTGTGGCTGGGACACACCTGGGTCAGGGCCCTGCCCGGTGGCAGACGACATGGGGGACCCCGAGAGATGCCATAGCAAGTCCCTGGAATGTGGGAGTGAGACTCTGTTTGAGAAGAGGGTCTTTTCGGGTGTGGTGAAGGGTCTGGAGATGAGATCATCCTGGACTGTCCAGGTGGGCCCTAAGTCCAGTGACAAATGTCCTGCAAGAGGGAGATGTGAGGCAGACAGGAGGCAGCTCCACCACCTTCCTGGACACAGCGGCGAGTCCGTGAGCCCGGGCGGCCACCGGGGCGGGAAGCAGTGAGCAGGCGGGTGGCCCTGCCGGACTTCAGAGGTGCGGCCTGCAGAACCGGGAGAGGGCCGGTTTCTGCTGGGCGAAGCCTGCCAGGCGTCGGGGAGGCAGCCCCAGGAGCTGTCACCCCGTGTGGGTGCCGTCCTCCCGTCTGAGCCCGGCCTCTGCTTCTTGCCCCCCTCCCCCGCCCCCCACTCCTGGGTTACACAGGCACGCGGCCAGGGTGCGGCATCACTGCCCCCTGGTGGCCTCCGCAGGAGGCAGCTGGGCCGGGCACCCCCGCCTCCCGGACTCAGGGCCCCCCCTCCCTGCTTGGCCCCTCCTCCCTGCCTGGCCCCTCCCCCACAAGCCAGCTGACTGGAGCCGGACACCACCCTGGGGCACTTGAGAATCAGGTTTATTTCTGGTCTTTTTTTTTTTATCAGAATATAAAAAGTGAACACAAAACAAGAAGACAAAACAGGAACTCGGTGCGGGGGCAGGGGCGAGATGGAGGTGGGAGAAGGGGGCAGAGGAGGAAGGGGCCCCCTGGAAAGGGCAACATCGTGATGGCACGAGGGGGGGAACTTGGGGCGCCAGACAGGACAAGGGGGCTTCCCATGGGGGCTCACTGGGGGCGGGGAGCACCAGGCCACATGCCCAAATTCCACACTCGGGACCGAAACAACCAACCTCTCGTGCTGGGGCCAGCTCAGGGCACAGAGAGGGGGCTGGGGCTCGGCCTCACCGGTCCCTGGGATTCTCGGGGCCCCCTAGGCAGTGGCAGGCGGGGGAGCCCAAGGGAGGGGACTGCAGGACAGCCCTCCCTGTCCCCCTGCTGGGCTGCACCGGCCCCTGCCTCGGGCCTTCGGGCCTCAGGAGAGGTGGTCAGCAGCCAGCCAGGGCGGGGGGCAGGCATGGCCCTCAGGCCAGTCTCTTGTGAGAACCTGGGTTTTCCTGGGCAAGGGGCAGTGGGAGTGCCCGCCCACTGATGTGCCCCCTGGGTGGCCTCCATGAGCCTGAGAGGACTGGCCCGGCCTGGCTCTGAGTGCTGGGTCCCCGCTGCACAGCGTTAGGTCCTGTGTGCTCGGGCGGTCCTGGACCTGCCCCTCCTCCGTCCTGTGAAAGGCTGCTGGCGTGGTGAGGGTCCCGTACATAAGGAGGGGAGGTGCTGGGCAGGGTCCGTTTGGCTGGGTGGACGCTGGGCCTGGGTGGGGGGTGGGCACCCAGCAAGGGGAGCTGGGCAGTTCTCCCCACCTCTGTGGGCAGTCCTCAGTGGGCACAGGGAGGGCGTGAAACTGGATGGGTGGGCAGACAGACCTCTGGCCCTGGGAGAGGACAGGACCCCCAGAAGATAGAGGTGAAGGAAATATAAATACACACCCTCTGGGAGTTGTGGGGGGAGCGTCCGAACCCTGCTTTGGCTCCAGGTGGCTGCCCCGAACACCACCGGCAGCACCCGGGGTGGGCCGGAGCTCGGGTCCTGGAGGCGGGCCCACACTCCCGGAGCCTCTACCCACCCAACCCCCGGCACAGCCGGGGCGCACGGCCAGCGGTGGCTGGAGCAGGCAAGCCCGGTCCCACCCGTCCACTGGGCCAGGCTCAGCCCCGGGTGCCCCTGAAGGTCCGGAAGGAGCTGTGCCCCGTCTTTGCCGCGGGCTCCGGTCACAGTGCTGGGGTCTGGGGCTCCGGCCTCGGGCGGCACTAGGACATGTGTCCGAAGGAAGCTGCGGGTGGGCGGGTGGGGAAGAACGCGGGGCCTCTGGCATCGTCCACGCTGCCACGGGTGCAGGACAGCCCTTGCTGGGGTCCCACAGCCACCTCCGGAGGTCCACCCCCTCCCCCCGCCTTGCCATCGGTGGGGGGGCCTTGCAGCCCAGCTCCCCAGGCCCCTCCCCGCCTCTCAGGCACTCCCGGCTGCTCTCACTGACCTTGGCTGAGCAGCTGCAGGCTCCGCCCCTCCTCGCGCACCTGCAGGCGCAGCACCTGCTGCAGCACCTCCTGCCGCTGGGCCTCCTGTGCCAGCCCCATGCGCTGCAGCTTCTCCGCGTTCAGCCGCAGCAGTGCCCGGCCTGGAGTGAGGGAACAGGGGTCAGCCGAGGTTAACCTTGGACGGGCATCCGCAGCCAAAGCAGAGAGAGAGAGCAAAGTGGGGGGGGGGGGCGGGCACAGAGGCTGAAACAGAGAGAAAGGGGGGGAGAGATGGGAGGGGGAGACAGAGACACAGATCGATTCGGGGAGACGAGGAGAGACAGGGAGAGACGAGGAGGGACGGAGACCGACGGGGAGAAGCCGGACGAAAGAAAGTGAGCAGGGGCTGCCGAGGCCCGGCCGGAAGGGGAGTCAGGGAGGGAAGCGAGGACAGGGGCTCCCCTGGGACCCCGCCCCCGCCCACGGCACCGGTGATGGCGTGCTGGGAGAAGGCCTCCACGTAGACGAGGTAGTTGTGGGGACAGTGCTTCTTGAGCCACTTGCAGACGTCCTGCTGGCTCCACAGGACCACAGGCCTCGTCAGGCCCCCCAGCGAGGGGCTCGTGTGGTACAGGCCGCAGCGGTCCGAGGACGGCCGGCCCTGCGGGGGGAGGGCGGCAGATGCAGTGAGGGCTGGGGAGGGCGGGGCCCCGCTGGGGACGGCGGCTCGGTACCTGGGCGGCCTCGGTGCCGGGCTGCTGCAGGAGCTTGACCGGCCGGCCGCCAGCTGCCCTCTGGCCTCGGGAGTCGTGCCAGGTGAGGCTGGTGCCCGGGGTCCTGGGCAGGTGGCAGGGGATGCTCTCGGCCGACACGGTGTGCTCCAGGAGGGTGCGGCAGAAGCTGAAGTGCGCAGTGGCTGCGGAGCAGGGGCGCCCGGTCAGAGCGGCCGGGGGCGAGGCCAGAGGCTCCTCTCCCTGCTCAGCCCGTCTCCCCTCCACGGAGGACGGAGCCTCTTTCCCAGCCGGGGGCTCCCGAGCCCCTACAGGCAGCAGGAAGCAGCAAGCGCTGTCTGCAGCTCAAAGACGAAGAATGGACACCTTCCCCCCGAGTCTGACGCCCATGTTCCAGGGGCCTGGATGGACTGTGCTTAGACGAGAGCGCGGATGTGCCCACCAGGGAGCCAAGACTTACAGTCGGGGTGGCGTTCTCCTGGGTCTGCCCTGCCCTGGCTGTTGCCTTGGGCTGGGTGCCCTTGCCACACCGAACCGGGGTGCACACACGGGAGCTGCCTGCAAGGTCCTGTGTGCCTGCCCGCCCTCATCGCCGGAGCCCAGTCTCTGCAGCTGTGGCTGGAGCTGAGGCTTCGCCCTACCCAGCTGCGCTCACTGGCTGTGACTGACGGACAGGAGCCTGAACTTGGGACGGCCCACACCCGGGATTTCTGCCCCCCCCCCCCACAGGGCCCGGCCCAGGGTGGTTCCTGTCCAGCTCAGGACAGGCGCTCCGGGACCCACTGCCACGCCTGAAGCTCCTCTCCACCCACAGCAACTCCATCCCACTCATCAAGTTTTGGGTGGCGGGGGGCTCTGTGTGATGCCCACGATCAGCAGAGCCCTGGGCACAGACTGGAAGCTGGGCCCAGTCTTGCCCCCATCTTCACGGCATCCAGGCCCTGACTGAGCCACCAGGATCAGGTTCCCAGGCCAGGCCCCCCCACTCCAGGAAAGTGAGACCCTCTCGGCCTCCCTACAAGGGTAGGGCCAGCCCTGTGCCCTGGTCTCAGTGATGGGGGAAACGGCATCTTACTCCGCCTTCCACCCCCTGAGAGTCATTTGGTCCAGCATCTCCTCCCCATGCCCCCAACTCTCCTCTATCAGGTGACCCTGGGTGACTCCCAATTTGAGGTCTGGGGCCAGAGTGTGGCCGCCGCCTTGAGGTGGCTTCTAGTACCGTGGGAAAAGACTTATTCTAAGCCGGCACCTTTCAGGGAGCAGGCGCCTGGGTCGTTCGGCTCGCTCAGCGGGGCCGGGCCTGGGCGAGAGCGCGCTGCTCTGGGCAAACCAGTTGGACGGACTCCTCCGCCGGCGCCGCACCTGTCCGGGGCCAGCCTGGTCCCGCCCATTTCCGGCCCGCGCCGGGGGTGGGATCTCTGTCCAGACGCCCGTCCTTCCCTCCTCCCAGCCCCAAAGTCAGAATTCCAGTAGAAAATGGGGAGGGGGCGGCCGAGGCGGGCTCTGGCTTCGGACCCCCTCTCGGCCCCAACGTAAGGGCTGGGGAAGGATTTTTTCCCAGCGAAGAAATAGGTGACCGCACGGTGGTGCCAGCCCGGGCACTGGAGCTCTGGCCGGTCACCTCCCCCAAGCCAAGGGTGCCTTCATCCCCAAGGCCTGAGGCCGCACCACCCGCTGCCCCCAGTGCAGGACAAAGACACCAGGAACCCGGCTCGGTCGGGGCGCGCCCCCCACTCTGCCCGCCGTCGCCGCCGCTGCCGCCGCCACTCGGAGTCCGCCAGGTCCCGCCCCCCGTCCCCCTCCGTCCCCAAGCCCCCAGCCCGCGATATCCCCGCGCCCGAGTCCAGCCCCGCTCACCGTCCACATCTCGGCGCTCCCCGAAGCCGGCGCGCACAGCCCCGGCGCGGCCTCGCGGGGGGCTCAGCTTGGTCCTTAGCTCCGTGAACATGGGGCCCGCGCACACGCCCCTCGCCGGGCGCAGGGCGGCCCTTGTGGCCAGCGGGGAACGCGCGCCACCGCCCCGCCCCACCCGGCCCCGCGCCCAAGCCGGTCCCTGCGCCCGGCGAGTCTGCGCGGCGAAGCACCTGCCGCTGAGCCCTTAGTGCCGGGCGCGCTCCGGGAGCTTGGAGGTGTGTCGGCGGCGCGCTGGTCCGCGTCTGCAAAGGGCGCCTGCGGGGGCGAGGGGCGACCGTGCGCACCTGGCTGGGCACGGCTCCAAAGACCAGTGACTGTGCACCGGCAGGGGCCCAGACGTCCCGAGGGGCCTCAGAGGCAGGGAAGTAAGGGCACATCGGTCTCCTCTGTGTGTGTGTGTGTGTGTGTGTGTGTGTGTGTCGGGGGGGTGCCCTGCCCGCTGCTGGGACCTTCTGACCCCTGGGGCCCAGGTGAAGGGTCAACCCGACCCCTTCCAACCACTTGCCTCCTCTCCTACCTCAATTTGCTCCTTTAATTTACATTCTCCAGATTTTTCCATAGGTGTCTCCCTCCAGGGGGCACTTGCCTCCCGGAAGTCGGTTTGACCCCCTCTAGCCCCACCGCGCTGTGAACTCCAGGAGCACCGCCAGGGTCTGTCCTCTCCCCTCCCCAGCCCCGGGGTCTGACTCAGCGCCCAAGACTTGGCATTGAAAGGGGCTCAGCTGGGCACAGGGAAGAGAGAGAGGCTCGAAGGGGGCAGGAGGCTGCGGCAGGCAGCAGGGATGTGTTCGCTCCAGAACACGGGGGAGAATGGCTGGGGCGGCCTGGGGGCTGCCTGGTCCCGCTGAAGGCCAGACTGGCAGAGTGGCGCTGGCTGTGCCCGGAGCCTGCGTGCTCGCCCCAGGTTCACGTGGGGGCCCCATAGTGTCCCACAGCAGAGTGGGCAAAGGCACGCGTGGCCGTGCAGAACTGTACAGAGGACAGTTATGCCTGGCCGCCCCAAACCAGAGCACAGTGACGACCTGCACGCGTGCTCCCAACACACATAGGGAGGCTTGCACGGGGTCCGCCCGCGTGCTGTGGTCGCCCCCACCACGTGCTGACTTGCTCCAGACACATCTGCTGCATTTGTTTATTGTCCTCAATCAGCTCCGCAGCTCGCGCCCTCACTGCAGTGTTCAGGGCACGACGGGTGGGTGGGGCCTGTGTGCGCGCCTGAGCGCTGAGAGGCAGGGCAGCAGTCCTCACACGGGAGACCCGCAGGCGGGGCGCCCACAGTCACGACACCCCCGGACAAGGTCTACACAGTGGGGGGGGCGCTGCAGCCCCACTCGGGCGATAGGGCCCGACCGGGCCGGGGCGACTAGTTAGGGCAGGGCGGCCAGCGGGGCTGGGAGAAGCAGGTGTCCCTGAAAAGCATCGACGACACGCAAACAGCGGGGACGCCCCGGCTCGGTTTCGAGGTCCCGCAGGGATCGCCCAGGATGCAGTCGCCCGGGACCCCTCCAGCAGCTCGCCCGACCTCCGCGCCACAAGTAGGCGCTGTGACTCTTGCGCTCGCCGTGTCTCCGCCCCTTAGCCGCGGCCGGAAGTCGCGTTTCCGGAACTTCTGCCCTGAGACCCCGAGGTAGGCGGGGCTTCGTGAGGACTGCGGTCTCTGCTTCCGGGGCGCGGGTGACGCCGGGGCGCGGGTGACGCGGGACCAGCGACTTCTTCCTGCAGCGGAGCTCCGGACTCCTGTGGTCCTCCGCCCCCGGCCGTGGCCTCCGTCTCTTCCCTTCCCAGCGCTCGTCGCCGCCGGCGCCATGAACAAGAAGAAGAAGCCGTTCCTGGGCATGCCCGCGCCGCTCGGCTACGTGCCGGGGCTGGGCCGAGGGTGAGTGCTGCGGCGGGCGCGGGAGGGGCGGGGCGGGCGGAGCGGGCCCCCACGAGTCCCGGCCCCCACGAGTCCGGGCCCGGCGGCGCGCGCCTGGGGAAGGGGCAGGGCGCCTGCCCGGACGACACCATTCTGACTACTCGACGCGAGTGTGACAGACGAGGGCCTGCGGCCATGGCGTCTGCAAGGATGCGAGGCCGTTTAGATCGGTGTTTGCAGGAAGGGTTGTCCTTCGTGGTTCGTTTCCACCCGGTGCAGGTTCCACCTCCCGCCTGGGCGCGGGGGCGAGGCCTCCCGGCGCGGTGGCCGGAGCCGGTGGTTTGGTGTCTGCTGCGCGGGAGCGTCGTCGCCGCCCGGGCCAGGAGGGCCCCGCCCCCTCCCGCCACGGGCACGATCGGTCCTTTTCCTTTGTCCTGTGATTCTGCTCTGTGGATCTCGTAGGGCCTCACTCCTTTCCCGTGCTGTCGGTGGTCTTACCCTGCTTGTTCAAACCGCCGACTCCGGGGGTCGGGCGCCCTCCCAGCCCCTCAGACCACTGTGACGAACTGTTGAGTAAACGAGCAGTCCTTACCATCCCGTGTGTCTGGTTACTCACGAGATAAGGAAAACTACAGGGTTTCTGTCTTTGCGGGGCACGCGGGTCTCGCATTCGACACCGTCTGCAGAGGACCTGCAGTGGGCTAGGAGGCGGGGAGTGCAGGAGCAGCTTCACAGCGGGGAGCAGATTTAGCACCGTGGGACCCCGTGGGCGGGTGGGGTGCTCTGTGGGGTGCTAGCATTCGAGCCGTGTTCAGGGGTGCAGGAATGGGCAGGTTAGGGAGTAGCAAGGAGCCTGTGAGCAGGACACATGGTGCTGACAGAAGTGGAGATCCTGGAGCCCTGGGAGAGGCAGTGCCTCGGATCTGGGGGCCGGGGCGGCTCTGCTGGCCAGCAGCGGGAGCCATGGTCTGGGCAGGAGGGGTCAGGAGGCTGGCAAGAGATGGGATGGGGAGGGAGGGCGAGGGAGGCCAAGCCGATGCCACCGTGTCTGCTTGGGTCGCCGTCAGCTGGGCGGGCCCCGAAGAGGAGCTCGGATGGGGTCAGGCTGGGTGTGAGGGCCTGGTTGGATGCGAGGTGGTTGGGCGTGGGGGCTGGGACTTGGAAGGAGGGTGGTCTGATGCCCTGGGGAGTGTGGCAGCAAAGGCAAGCCTAAGCAACCCCTCAGGGAGGGTCAGAGGCGTCCCCCTGGAGAGAAGAGGCTGGAAGTGCCGGGGAGCAGGGCCACACAGGGTTCGCTGCCACAGCATCTGCGGGGACGTTGGGGAAAGGTGTCGCTAAGTGACGGGTGTGGGCGAAAGAACGCAGGTCTGGGTTACCCAGTTAACCGGCGTCTCGGGGTCTCCTGCAGCGCCACCGGCTTCACCACACGGTCGGACATTGGGCCAGCCCGGGATGCCAATGACCCTGTGGATGACCGCCACGCGCCCCCGGGCAAGAGGACCGTCGGGGACCAGATGAAGAAGAGCCAGGCTGCAGACGATGACGACGAGGACCTGAACGACACCAACTATGACGAGGTGACCTGGGGGCCTGGCCCGCCTGCGGGGGCTGGGCAGCGTGGGAGGCTGGCCCAGCTCCCCTTGCAGCTGCCCCTGGCGGCCCCGCAGCCGAGTGAGAGGGGAGCGGGGCAGGTGTGAGGAAGCGTGCGCCTGGCCGTCTCCTCAAACAGGTGTCTGGGCGGCTGCCACACCCCTGCTCTGGGTTCGTGTCAGCCCCTGGGGAAAATGTTTCAAGGTACAAGAGCAAGCTTAATTTGAAAGTTACAGGGGGGCATTTGCGGTCTTGCTCCTTGGCACGTGTCTTCAGTTTGACTCGAATAAACTCACAAAAATAAAAGGAGGGGCAGAGGACGTGGGAGGGAGCCAGTCGGGCTGTGCAGGCTCAGGACAGCGGGCGCAGAGACAGAGGGAGGGCCCTCAGAGCCCAGGAGAGCCCAGAAAGTGCGGGTGGGCGTGCGGGGGGTGGGCAGAGTGGGAAGTGGGGTTGGCGATGACACCCACTCTGCTTCACGCTGGTGCCGCCCTGCCCGTCAGGCGCTGCGGCCGCTGGAGCGATGTCGGGCGTTGCTCCTCGGAGGAGCCGAGTTTAAAGATTCTGTTCTGAAGCGACCGTGTTTGCAGGGAACTTGCAAGGGCGTACGGAGAGTGCCTGCACTGCCGTCACGGGCCTCTCCCCGTCCTGCGGGACCTTAGCGCAGTCCCCACCGGGAAGGGCGGGCTGGTGCGCTGTTAGTGAGCCTGCGGCTGCGGCTGGATCCTGCCAGCTTCCCACCTGCGTCCTCGGGCTGGCCCCGGCCCTGCCCCTCATGGCCTCTGGCTCTGCCCTCCGCCCCTGGAGGGCTCCTCCGTCCCCCGCCCTCGACAGCAGCTGCGCCCCCCCCACCCAGGTGGGTCCGTCTCCTGCAGCCGTGCTGCCGGCGGGCAGGAGCTGAGCCCGCCCTGTGCCCGTCCTCAGTTCAACGGCTACGCGGGCAGCCTCTTCTCGAGCGGGCCCTACGAGAAGGACGACGAGGAGGCGGACGCCATCTACGCGGCTCTGGACAAGAGGATGGACGAGCGGAGGAAGGAGCGCAGGTAGGCGCAGCCCCTGCCCGCCCCGCCCCGCGGTCCGTGCCCGACCCCCAGGAGCGGCTCCGGCTCCGGCTCCGGCTGTGCCTGGACGTGCTCCGCGCCGCCTTGGGGGGTGGGTCTGGGCTGGGTGGGCGTTGGGCGGGGCCGCAGGGGGGCCGTCCTGCCTCCGTGCCGGGGTTCCCGCCTCTGGGATGGCCGTGGCGGTGCCGGCCGCTGAGTTCTGGGGGTTTGGACGTCGTCTCTGTGAGTTTTTGACGCCTCTCACGTGAGAGAACGTGTCCCCACGGAGCACTGGAGCAGCGGGGCTGAGTGGTGCAGGGTCGCAGGCCCAGGTGGCGGCAGCTGACAGCTCAGCTCGCGCGGCCCCCCCGTGACACGCACTGTGACGTCCTGTGGTGACTCTGGCGTGCGCAGTGTGTTCGAGAGGGCGACGGGTGGGGGGGGCGGCGGGTGCAGCGTGGTGTGCTGTTGGCGTGCCGCAGAGCCGCGCGCTCAGACCTGCAGGGTCTCACCAGCCGGCGGCGCCCCGGCCGACTCGGTGAAAAGAGAAATAGAAATAGAGGAGGAGGATCCGATTCCAGCTTCCTGGGAGTCACGCGTTTGGAGGCTCAGCGGGGTGGTCGCATCCAGTGGCTGGAGGGAGGAGCGCAGGGTTGCAAGCTCGGTTATGACAGCCCCGGGCCAGCAGGGGGAGCAGTGCGGCCAACACGCCGTGTGGGGGTGCAGCTCGCCCGCCAGCCACTTCCCGCACCTGCTCGGGGTCTCCCCCGTCCCTCGGGGCCGGGGCACCCTCCACACCAGGCCGTCTTCTCCCACGCGGGCCACCCAGCAGCGTGAACCCCCGTTCTGTCACCTGACAGCCGGGCCACGCCCAG